TTTCTTAATGCTTTGACAAGGCTCTATTTGTGAAAAATTGTTGTCCACATTGCTCAAATGTTTGTTGATGGCGACCGAAGGCAAAAAGACCAGAATTCACTTATTTAGGAGGTACTGATGGTGTTTGCATATGCACAGAGGCTGTGCGCTTTCTACACAAATTCGTGTGTTATTAAAACCTCTTTTTTACTTTGCATATGACATCTTTAAAATATGGTGAAATTTGTACACACTTTTGCGTGGTTCACCTAAAGTGTTTACCAAATTGCAGGTTCAGTCCTTTTTTGCTTTATTATTGGCTTCATAAAACGTCCTTATCAATTTATCTTGTTAGGGCTCTGGGCCCTGAAGATTTCCAAGGAATCTTAAGAATTTAAAGAACGTTCACAAGAAAAAGAAGGCATTTCCAGTCTATAGCTGCCCGAGTAGACTTTAAAAAAAACTCAAAGAAAATTAAAGGCATAAGGCTAAAATATATTCCTTTAAGGTTTGGCTGAAATGTAATGGCACTACAAACCCGTTAAATTTAAGGTTGTTCTTCATGGTAGCTCTGAATGTTGGTTTATCAGAAGGCCAGATGAATAGAAGTATCCACATTCTCCCACGTCATACGTAAAACATCAAAATAACATGTAACTTTAATGTTACCTGTATCTTAATACACACATACCATGCATTGCTGCAGCGTTATTTACCGCTGCCATTTACTATGTTGCATTGCCAAGAGGTGAATTTTGCTACAGAAATGCTTCGATATTCTTCATATAATGTAGTAATAGTAGTAACAATAATAATAACAGCCCTTTGTCAATCTACAGCCTGGCGAGTTAGCCATGCTTCACTGCACTGGTCAATCAGTTCGAGTTGGTGAAGGGGGCACCCAGGTCTATTTCAGATGCTCTGATGTTAGCCGTGGCTGAGAACTCTACTACCAGTGATGACGGTTGCTTGTGTTGCTTCCGAAACGTCGTGATTTAATTTATTTGTTTTAAAAAAAAAATTTTACCTACGTGACTTTACCGAAAAAACGAAAGAGTGTGGATCCTTGCAGTCACGAAAACTTCAAATCTAGAATTACCAGTGACTGGTTGTATCGTGCAGTGTGTGAAACAATTTACCACCAAACCACCCCAATGCTTCATATTCAGTGCAGTACTTGTACTCTAATCATATCTTCCCAAACACGAAAGTACCTTTCCGATATAAACTAGCAACAATGAGCTGACGCACAAAAGGTCATAAACATATGGAATTGTAAGCACCACTACTTTTAAAGGAAGATGTAACCCAACAAACATCTCTTATCTTTGATATACACACATACACTTTGTGTCTAGGGCCGGCCAACTGGTTTCAAAACTGTGGAATGCATATGAATACATATATTCGTTTATTAAAATGTAAATTCCAGTACTGTACTATATTCAATGTTTAAGGTGCCCGAGTGAAAATAACATATTAGTAGTATGCCACTAGAGGGCAACATTGTTTTAGTGCTTCACATTCAGTTGATAAACAAAATGTTACAAGTATGAGCTTTAAATATTTTAAAGAAACATTGGCAGTATAAATATTACAAAATTATAATTGCACTTTAAACCTAGCAACTAGAGTTTAATTAACATCAGTGGCGATATTTGAACCAGTTCTGGGCTCCAAAGCTGAATAGGTATTGTGATGAAACATGGTCCAAAAAACCCACAAAAGACTGACTTAGTAAGAGGAGGGCTTCATCCAGAAGTGGACTGATGAAGCCCTGTAAACAGTTTATGTAGTATAATATCATCTGGTCCGTAGCCACGAGATGGCATACAGCAATAGATTCTGAATCCATATTTGCGGAGCTTTCAGTGTTGTCCTCTCGATTTAAAGCTTTCGTGACTGCACGGATTCATCTTCTTGGTTCTTTCGGTAAAGTCACGTGGAAGGGAAATAGTAAAATAATAAAAATAAAACATATTAAAATAAAATTCTCAGTGAGTAAAATAAAATTATCAGTGAGAGAGTAAAATAAAATTTTCAGTGAGAAAATAAAATTCTCAGTGAGAATTAAAATTAAATTCCCAGTGAGAATTTAATTTAATGCTTTATTTTTATTATTTTATTATTTCCCTTCTACGTGACTTTACCGAAAGAACCAAGAAGATGTTGTCCTCTCGTCCCACTTTTTTTCCCGTACTGTAGATGCCTCCCTCAAGTCACACACTGGTGAATGGATTTGGCCAAACATCTCAGTGTAGAACCCTCATGAAAAGAAAGTCTTGAGACTCAGCGAGGCAGTCACTGTGGATTGGTGAAGGTGGGAGCATAGAAGAACTGAAGTACAGCACAATAGGTTGCTGGCTCATTGGGGGCCCAAATCATACATGAATTTGAGGGCCCATACCCTGTACGAATTCATAAACACCTTGTGAGATATTCTTTGATTCCTTCGGTAAAGTCACGTAGATATAAAACAAAAATTGATTAGATTAAATGAGATACAAACAAGATCTGAATGAGATTAATTCACTTTCTTCGTGTGCATTATCTTTTTACGTTTATTGGGATTTACATTTTTACCTATTTGCTATTTACTTATGATTCCGAGGTTACTTGAGCTTTTTCAGGCCCTATTTTCTTATACATATGGCCTCTTTCGTGGATGACAGTGGTGAAAATGTAGCCTTGATGTGGAAGGTGATACTGTAATGGTAATACACTACTGGTTTGTGATGCACACATTCAGAATGTCATCATTTTCAATTTAATTGTACGGGTATGTAGCCAATATAGCGCCCTCTAGTGGCTGAAGTGGTCACGCGATTTCCGTTATATTAAACATCTGCAATGTGATAAGCAATCCATAATGGATATTACTCTAAATTTTGACTTAAAACTTTCGTGACTGCAGGAATTAATATTCTCTGCGAAGTCAACAGGACATTAATCGAATGGTCCTTCCATGAACGTGTACTGTTGTCCATATAAATTAGTAAAATTACTCTACGCGAATAAACTTTCTTAGTTTATTCATCTCGTTTATATCTTGCGGTCCGATCTGCTGCCTTACACGTTTGAGTTATATTCCTGGTTTGCTAGCCACAATGAGGGCTTCATAAGAGTTCGTGAAGTTTTGCTCTTCCTCTGTTGAAGGCGAGCAAACTAGTGGTTCACTATTATCCGGGTTCCATAGTTTGAGGTGCATGGCCAAAATCGCACCGTGACCTTTTTTCGGTCATGTATGTCATTTATCTGTGTATATGTCTGTCTTTGAGTTTACTAAGTTCGTGCTGTACGTTGAACTTATTTCGCAGCGTACGTAGCGAACCGTGCTAATCGGAGGTGGATGGAAAACTAAACACAAACAGCAATTATAAAGAAATTCGTTTTCAATGTATTGAGGGACTATGGTGTCCTGGTTTGGTTTGGGATTTTTAGTTATTTTGCTGCCTTACCCAAGTTTGCATTTAGTGCAGAAAAATGTACTCATGTAATTCCAACTTATTAATTTAATTTTAGTAACTTGCTTACCTTTCCTATAGTTTGCACGCCTTTAATTTATGTAGTTATTATCGCGTTCATAGCTCATCGGATTTCTCCAGAATAGACAAGATTCTGATTCTGAAATGGTCTCAACTCTGTGGGTTGTATGGCCCAGAGATCGGCAACCTAAATAACAAGATCCATGTTGTTTGAATTCCGCAAGAAAAAAAACCCAACTCAATATTTCAAGAGCCGCAATGAATGTGAAAACGAAGACAATGGGTATTTTAATATGGGCAGTCCTTTAAATAGACTCAGCTGCATGTTGCCAACCCCTGGCCATGGCCAGGCAGGGATTTCTCCAGGATAGAATTTGATTCTGAAATTGTCCCACATTGATAATTGGTTTACCCTTCCATCTGGCAACAAAAGTGACACCTTTTTTACAAGGAGTCATGTTTGCATAGACCACAATACCTGCAGGCGTCATCTGGTCCAACCCATGTGAGACTAGGCTCTAAGGAAAGCTGTCTCGGGTGTGGACCAATCAACTTCAAGGACAGTGCATATATTATCAGAGTTGTTTTTTGTTTGCATTATGGCTGCAGATATTGTGGTCTATGCAAACATGACTCCTTGTAAAGGTGTCAGTTTTGTTGCGAGATGGAAGGGTAAAAAAACAATAATCATATTTTTTTACTGGCAAATGAGGTTCCAATGGTGATCCCACATTGTTGGTTTATTGCATGGCCCATCACACCAGCCAAGCCTCCACCCCGTGGCAACATGGCCGCAGTGTAAGGCGTGGCCCTCCCACCCCACAACCTTCAATATCTCGATAAGCGACACCATTCGACCTCCACCCATGAAGTAACCCAAAACATTTCTACGACGACGACCCAATTGAATAAACAACACTTTTGTGTTTTGTGTGTTTGGTTTGGTAAGAGGACATCGGTAGCGGTGACGGGCCGAACAAGACGGCGCGTGTACGCGACTTCCGGTCACTGCGCCCCTCTTGCGCCACGTCACATCCGGTAAACCACGTGACTTGGCCTCTCCGCCAATGAGAGCGGTCCTAAGTCGCGCCGCCATGTTGCTAAGGGCTTAAGCGAAAGCCGCACTCCGCTACTGGTCCCTGCCGCAGTTTTGCGTCTTGGCTTGACCGCCTGCAAAGCGTCAAATTGTCGTCGTTGCTTCGGGGAGGAGTGTAGGGGGTTAGTGGGAGGCCCGCTTGACGTGATGTTATCGACCGCCCTCCTGTGGCCGTTTTAATGGCAAACGTCGCGCAGTCTCCCTACCCAACATGGCGGGGAATCCCCCCCCCACCACCACCGCCCCTCACCCCCACGTCAATGCGGATGGAGAGACGCGGTCACGTGGTGCTGCAATGACCAATAGGGTTGCGTCGCGGCGGGGGAGGAGGAAGAGGGGGCGGAGCCTCACCCCCCCCCCGCTGAGGGCTCTAGCCCCGCCCCCTTCGGACCTGCCCCGTGCGTGTCCCGGCCCCCCCCCCACTTCAATCTCGGCCGCCTCTCGCTTCGTGTCGCCCCCCCCCCCTCGTCGTCACCACCACCACCCGGACACCCATGGCCGGCCGCTCCCCTTAGAAGAAGCCCCAGGGTCCGGGCGCTCCGGGACTGGGAAGGGCGGCGAGGAGCCACCAACACCAACAACTAACCTCCACCACCAACACCACCCTCCACCACCACTACCACCAATACCACCACCACACCCAACACCAACACCAATACTACCCTCCACCACTACCACCAACACGACCACCACACCCAACCCCACCACCAACACCACCCTCCACCACCAACACTACCAATACCACCAACACCACCACCACACCCAACACCACCACCAACACCACCAATACCACCACCACCAACACTACCAACACCAACACCACACCACCACCAACACCACCCCACCACCACACAAACACCAACACCACCACACCCAACACCACCAACACCACCACACCAACACCACCACCAAGCCATGCGTAGCAGCTGAGCAGCACCCGAGGGCTTCGGGCAGGACAATCGCGAAGGAGGTTCGCCTCGCCCGGCGGCGACGGGGTAGGCGGCCGGGCCGGGTCGGGCTCAAGAGACGAGCCGGTGGAGACGCCGGTGGTGGAGCAGGAAGAAGAGAACGAAGCGGGGGAAGTCGTCTTCAGGAGGTGCTGCAATTAGTGTGACGAGCCAAAGCAATTGGGGGTGTGTGGTGGGTTATAGCAAAAGGTGAGAAGAAAGAACGAAGAGGACGATAGGAAGAGTGAACAGAGACGGAATCGTGAACGGTGGTTGCCTTGGTGGTGGTGGTGGTGGTGGATCTTTCGAAGGGTTCGTGAGGAGCAAAAGGGTCACTTTGTGGCCATGGAGCTTGTGGACATCCTGAGGAAGTTGGTGGCCCGAGTGGCTTCACTGCGAGACGTGGACGCGTACGGGGAGGACGGCTTTGCAGAGGAGTTCGCGGTGAGAGGAGATCGTGACTACCCCCCCTCCCCCCCTCTCCGCTCCTTGTCGTCTTCATCTTCTTCTTCTGTATCGTCACCTTTTATTGTAGCAGCAGCAGCTTAAGTTGTTGTCGCTTGAAGTCGCCGGTGTTTGCCAACATTGCGATGTCTTTTCTCGCCGTGCTTTGCGTTGCTGCGCTGCGGGATGCCAAGCCAACAACGTGCCTCTGTCATGAACAATATTCCTGATTTAGTCTTAGCCTTCATTATACAAATCTTCAATAATGTGTCATACATTTCGAATGTTGAGTATGAGTAGAGAAACATAGCTATGGTGTCTTCTCTTTGGCTTTGTTTTGAACTTTGTATGGTTTTCGTTTTGGGTAAATTTGTTCAATTTGTATCCGATTGTGAATGCATTACCGATCATATATGTCATGTTTTACCACGACTAACGGCATAATTTATTATAATCTGTTTTAAACCTACCAGAGGACAACTTGGCGAGATGAACGAGAGTTTAACGCACTCTCTAGAGTTTAGAACGTGCCAATTTTCGGAATGTCGACCTTGTAATGCTGTCGTTCCAAGCAAGGAGATGATTTATAACGCTTGGAATTAAATTTCAATTGAAAGCTTTCGTGACTGCAGGGATTCATCTTGGTTCTTTCGGTAAAGTCACGTAGAAGGGAAATAATAAAATAGAGAGAGAAAGAGGGGACATGTGGTATCAGAGAAACAGGTTAATGGCAGAAATCAACTTGCTTACAAGAGTGAGCTTGGTCAGAACTTGTTTCTAAAAAAGAATGATGCCCAATAGTCGAGAATAATGACGGAGTAGCAGCCAGGGAATGGAATACAGACAAGAGGACGTCCACCGATTTGATGAAATCGGCTGGTGTGTAGGTGCGAGGTGTGAGATAGAAACGGCTTGGGGGAGCTGTTCATCAAGCAGTGGATTGGTTATGACTGCTACTGCTGATGTATATATACTTGTTTAAGCCAGGCCTATCTTGAAAAAAAAGGCTGTTTCTCAATGGGGTTCTCACATGGTTGTAAATAAAATATGAGATAATGGATCATTCTATATACCTTACAACTACACGAATGCCCTCTGAGTCTGCAATTTCCTTAAGCAAGGGAGAAATGCAACATTTGCAAGCTACAAATACAGCACAGACCAACAACGTTGCCCAAAGTCCACGTGAAAATAAATACGATTGTGTTGAGGGATTATATTGCAGAACTGACAATCATAATGTAATATTTTTATACATGTAATCATCTTGAGCGTTATTTGTTGATTTAATTTACATCAGTTGTCTGCCACAGGGCAACTTCTTGAGTAGGTAGCAGTAATAATTTAAGCCGCTGGTTTGGCCAGCTTCCTCGTTAGATTAATGAGATGCTAATTTGCCATCAGACTGCAAGATGTATGGTCTAATTGGCCGTGATTAATTATCGGTGTACCTTTGTGGTACCCGCAGTCTAAGCCTGCCCCTTTTAGTAGAATGCTGAACCACCTTCTAAAGTAAGTATTGATGCACAGAGACATATTGGCAACATATCAGCAGCACATCAGCAGCTGTCAAACTTGTCAGCTCTCAGAATTGTAATAAAAATCATGGGACTTTTGACCAAAACAACTGAACTGTCATCCCATATTTGTGACGAACTGCTAAGCGACACACAAACATTGTATGTCAAACATAAACCTAAAGCACTGACCACTACTAACCCACCTTAATTAATGACAGGTACAAAGCAGTGTTAATGCCTATCACATTCAGTGATAAAACCCACAAACTGATAACCTGTAAACAGTAACTCTTAAACACAATACCGGTACCCTGAACACGTAACCTTTATTATTATTACAAGTTAGTTCAATAACTATTTCATAAATAATGTAGGGCCAAAGCTAAAGCTACTGTGTAGGTTTTGGTAGTTGTGCTGTATACATTTCAGGAAGAATCTTTCAACACGTGGATTAAAACATGGGACATCATGTGGTAACAATTCGAAAACGCATCGGATAATTTACGGTCAAAGGTGGTTTAGGCCACTACTGGATGAGGGCCTTCCCATGTAATGTGGGTCATAGAGAATGTCGTGGCAGCATAGGAGTACATTACAATAATGGATTTTGCTGCACTGCTCTCAGCTGTCCACTCTGCAGTCATAGAGTTTATAGCCTATAAGACCTGTCGTGCATGGTTTGTCTCTCATCCAAGAAAGATCCAGGCTCAGATGTGCTTAACTCCTGAGATCTGACAAAATCGGGCACATTCCAAATGAAAAATATGGCCAAAGTAAATTTCTTATGGCCTGTGTAGAATGCACGGGCAATGATGTTTACATGTTGCACGATGGCTGCTGTTTCAGTGGTGTGCGTGCGGTTTTGGCTGAAAACGGGCTGCTGTCACCGCTGAGGGATGGGCCCAGTGATGCCTCGGGCTCTGCATGTGTACTTGCTGGATTTTGCACATATTTAGGCTAAATACGCCCCACATACTTAGCGGTTACCGTCTGCCCGTAGCTGCTGCCTTTTGCCGTTAAATTCCAAGCTTCGCCTCCAACCGCTATAGTTTGTTGCAAGCTTTCTTGCTCTGCTTCCAATGTTTTTTTTCAACAGTGAATTGCGCATTTCAGTGAATAATGTCACTCAATATTCTGCCGGTCAGCATTTATGGGTTATTTTTTTTTGCAGTGTGTTATTGCCAGTGTTATTCCACGTGGACTAAGAATATCGTGGAAACTTGTCAGTGATATAATTCCCTTTCTGCGTCAGGTTTTTGTGCCTACAACTATACAACTATCACAATTGCTCAGCTTTTGATAAAAAAGCGACCCGTCATCTTTGAGTCTCTATCAATCCACCTAATCTTTAATCCATTAATCTTCGGGCAACCCTCACAATTTAACTTGATACCTTGAAAATCTTAACGATTTTTTTGTCATTCCAAGTACAAAATAATTTCGACAGACTGCTCCAGTTGAAAACCCATGGGTGGAATTTATTTTTATTCACTTTGCGTTTGCAAGGTTTATGCTCTAATAGGTTATTCTTAATATGATGCTGAATGAAATCCATTCCTTGAATAATATTTTTTTGTGCTTGCCAAGCCAGTTCTGTTGCATGCGTTAATGCACAATGCAAAATTAATTGCTGCAACAATTAACCACCAGTTGTTTTACATAACATAAATAGTAAAAAGAACAGGCATGTTAGGATGACCTTGTATAATTGCCTGACCTGCTTCAGGACCTTTTAGGACTTGGAGAATGCAATTTTCCATAATATTTACCCATTAAAATATTTGAATTTTTTGCAAAACCTCAATTAACATGTTTCTTTTTTGTATTTCATATCGATGCTTAATTTTGCTAATTCGTATGTCATTTAGAAAGGTCTCTGTATTCGCTGCTAAATTAGACCGAATCTGTCTCAAATGCGGCTTTGCCCGGTAATTTGTTGGCAGGCGGCGGTATCAAAGGATGTGCTGTCCTTCGCAGAGACGTTAAGATGTCCATTGCAGCAGCTTGCTGGTCCCCGACGTTTATTATATGCCACGGGATCTTCGTCAAAAGTAGACCATTGTGTTCTGGAGTCACGGCCAATTAAAAGATGGCAATGAATAATTTACTGGAACAAAGCAGTACTTCTGTATTAAAATTGCATCTGCAGCATCGTGGAATTAATCTGGGGTTGTAGTAGCTAAAATAAATAACAGGACATTTTCTCCAGCGGTTCGCTAAGGATGCACTTTCGTCGGGGCGGTGCTGAAATTAGTGGCGTGGCCCTGCCACACTGCCAGACATATTGTATTATTTAACGACAAACAGCGCGGCACTGTTTAGCGCCAGGCATATGACTGCTGATCCATTTTCAGCGCTTCGTTGTAAACAAAAAAAATCTTGTTTATGAGGTCACATAAGCACAGCGAAGCATACGTACGTACATACGTTCTTTCTTGTGTGTTTAAAGCACATGTGAAAGTGTCCTCACGGTAATTCAAGCTAACTTCCACAAATGTATACTGTATACAATGAGATCAGCATCAGTTCATTTAAAAAAATGTTTTACTAAAATTTGCAGACATCTATTAACTAACTAGATATTTCTAACTGCAGATTTTTATACTAACTTATTATTGAATTAAAGCTTTCGTGACTGCAGGAATTCATATTATTTGGGTCTTTCGGTCAAGCCATTAACTAGGTATTATGAAACGGATATTAAGTGTTATAACAAGGTATGGTTTTGGGAACCAGGTCTCCCTTGAAATAGAGACGTTTAGACTCAATGGGTTCCCATCTGATCGCTTACATAAATAATCTGAAGATATGTTGATTCACCAAACAATAACAGTTATTACACTCACTATACGTGGATTCAATCATGCATGTGGGAATCAGGAATGATGTACTGTATTCAAGTCCTATGGAAACATTTTGCTAATGTTATATGTTGCCTTAAGAATTGAACAAATTGTATAAACAAAGCAGAAAAAATCTGTACAATACATACGAGATGATTAGAATTTGACAAGATGATCAATTTTCTTGGTTCTTTCGGTAAAGTCACGTAGAAGGGAAGTAATAAAATAATAAAAATAAAACATAATAAAACAATGAATCCCTGCAGTCACGAAAGCTTTAAATCGAAAGATGATCAATTCTTGAAGCAAATCATGACCCATAATCCTGATAATGGCATTGAGTTTCTGGGGCGGGGGAATCAAACCTGCTCCCTACCATCCTTTTCCCTCGGCTTAATTTTGCTAAAGTGGAGAGGTTTCAGATGTAAAATATGGATATGCTCTAAAAAAAAGCACAGCCTTTGCTGTAAGAGCCGTGTCTTTTAACGAGCAGCCGCTAAAATGCTTATTTTTTTCTGGAAATTTATAACGGATGGTTGTGTTCATTTTTGTGAAATTGTGTTTTTTTTGGTCACAAGTTTTTCAACAGTGATTGTGCACAGAAGCACGGGATTACACGCAATTGTAATCGGCGCAA